TCTATTTGATTAAACTATTCCTTCTGCTGCTATATAACAGCTACAAGTGGTGTCTATTTATTATTAAAGCAATGAATATACTAAAAGATATTTATATATTTTATATATATATATATTATAAATATGTGAAGGAATAGGACAAGGAAAGCTAAAGCATTTCTTTCTGCTGGAGTTGTTGTTGTTGTTTAGAGGCCGCCTTCAGCAGCAAATCAATTAACATGAATAGACAAAGAGAGACAGCAAAAATGGACAAAAGAACCCTAATAATATCCCTCAACAACTAAATCCATCAAGCAGCAGCAACAACAACAAAGCAAAAAGAAACAGAAAAAAAAGAAGAAAAGCGAAGAAATATATATAATATATATTATAAATAATATATATTATATATATATATCATTCGCTGATTCTCCTTTTTGATTCTACTGCTTGGTGCATATTGCTTGGATGCATGTTATTATAAAGTCGCTAATAATAATAATAATAAGATAATAATGAAAGTAGCAGTAGAGTAAGAGAAGTAAAGTTTAGAATTCATCTCCATATCCTTCTTCTTCTGCTTCTCCTTCAGCTGTTTCAATGCCGACTTCTTCATAATCTTTTTCAAGTGCTGCTAAATCTTCTCTTGCTTCTGAAAATTCACCTTCCTCCATACCTTCACCAACATACCAGTGTACAAAGGCTCTCTTAGCATACATAAGATCGAACTTATGATCCATACGACTGAAGACTTCTGCAATAGCTGTGCTATTGCTAATCATGCATACAGCTCTCATAACTTTTGCTAGATCTCCTCCAGGTACAACTGTAGGAGGCTGATAATTAATGCCGCATTTAAAGCCAGTTGGGCACCAATCAACAAATTGAATTGTTCTCTTTGTCTTTATTGTTGCTACTGCTGCATTTACATCCTTCGGAACAACATCTCCTCTATACATCAAACAGCATGCCATATACTTTCCATGACGAGGATCGCACTTCGCCATCATACTTGCAGGCTCGAATGCGCTGTTTGTAATTTCTGCAACAGAAAGCTGCTCATGATATGCCTTCTCTGCTGAAATAATTGGAGCATAAGAAGAAAGCATAAAGTGAATACGAGGATAGGGAACTAAGTTTGTTTGGAACTCCGTCACATCCACGTTCAGAGCACCGTCGAAACGCAGAGAAGCTGTCAGAGAAGAAATAACTTGAGCTATCAAACGGTTGAGGTTTGTGTATGTAGGACGCTCAATATCCAAGTTTCGGCGGCAAATATCGTAGATAGCTTCATTATCCAACATCACTGCAACATCTGTGTGCTCAAGTAAAGAATGCGTAGATAAGACAGAGTTGTACGGCTCCACTACTGCTGTAGACACCTGGGGAGAAGGCCATGAACAGAAGTTCAGCTTGCTCTTCTTTCCGTAGTCAACAGACAGACGCTCCAACAATAAACAACCCAAACCTGAACCTGTACCTCCTCCCACAGCATTGAACATCAGGAAACCTTGAAGACCTGTGCACTGATCAGCCAGCTTGCGGATTCTATCCAGAGATAGATCGACTATCTCCTTCCCAATGGTGTAGTGCCCACGAGCAAAGTTGTTTGCTGCATCCTCCTTCCCAGATATCAATTGTTCAGGGTGAAACAAATGGCGGTATGTGCCGGTACGCACTTCGTCTACCACTGTGGGTTCCAAGTCAAGGAACACGCAGCGGGGAACCTGAAGGTAAAAAGTAGAAACACAAAAGAAATGGAGAATAATGGCAAAGACTTCATTCATACAAATGCTTTTCGATACTAAGATAATCAGTACTTTGCTAGAGAGAAGACGAAATAGAAGACGATGCTGATGGTGGTTCAGACACCGAAAAACCTATCAAATGAGAAGATATGCCGCTTACGTGCTTCCCAGCGCCAGTCTCAGAGAAGAAAGTGTTGAAGGCATCATCAATACCTCCAATAGTCTGGTCAGGGGGCATCTGCCCATCGGGCTGAATGCCGTGCTCGAGGCAGAAGAGCTCCCTGAAACATCAACACAGCAGAATAAGAAGAAAGCATGGTGATCCGTGGGTTTCCGACTGCAGATCGGCTCCAAATACCCCTTTATCTGCACGGAAATATGTTCACTTTCACGAAAAACAAAAGAAAAAAGATATTCAATGGTGAAATATAGCTAAATTCACGCAGTCGCCGCCCTGTTATACTGGGGCCCGGCATCCGAAACGCCAACGAAACCGCCGCAGACGGGTCTCGACTGCCTTTCCTGCTTCTGTCTGTGCATTTTAGATTAGAATTTCATGAAAAGAACAATAAAATAAAGGAGAATCAACAGAGAAAATGCCTCTTATATCGGTGTTTCCAGCTAGAGCTGTTCCTGGGTTCAGGTCTGTGCTGAGCTGCGGTTGGTTGGTGGTGGGTGCTGACGAAGTGCAGCGTTCCAGGAGTTAAATTGAAGGAAAACTTTGCAATATTTCCTCACCAGCAGGCATTTCCGATTTGGATACCGGCTTGGCCGACGTGAATGCTGATGACTTCTCTCATTTTCGTGAGTTGTAAAGAAGGCGATTGATGGAGTGCAGAGAGGCAGGTGAGGTATGGGTTGCGCTGTGTATTTGGCTATTGCTGCTGCTTCTTTCTCTTGAAGAGGGTATAATGAGCAGAATAAATTGCAATCAATGAAATTTCCAAGTCAAGCGTCCAACGAGGAGGAGCACTCAACCACGAAATCTCAAAAAAAAGACATGGGTAGCTGTGGTCGCCACCTGCAATTTGAAGCGCCACCACCGCAACACCTGTGCGCCGAGGTAGCAGCATCCGCCGGCCCCCAGCCAACCTCAGCTGCACCATATTCAGTGCTGAACAGGACATGAAAAAGGTATATTTTAATATATTAAATATATTTATGCAATTAATTGGCTTTATATAATTCATTTCCTGAAAAAATCAAACAATTCAAATGTAGATTCACTCATTATTCTCAAAATAATAACGCGTCAAACTACTGACGTGAATCTGACCCTCCATCTTAGCTGTACAGGCAGCTGTAATATATATTGCAGTAATTTCAATAAATATTAATTCTACTTTATTTTATTTTAAATGCTGTAATCGTTTCATGATAATCTTCGCGCAGACACCGCTACATTTTTTCCTTTTATATGCACGTTTCGTGTTCATACGCCCAATCCGTACACTACAATATTTCAACAATAAAAAATAATTCACGCTAAATAAAAATTGTAAATATAACTCAACTTAAAAACCAAAATACTGTCAAGACTGATATACTCACATATTATATATCAATGTGATATATATATATATATATATATATATATATATGAATATGCATATATATTGTACATATACATACATAATGTAATATAATGTAATATATATATATATATGTATATTACATATATGTACATATACATGCATATACATGCATATGAATATACATATATAATATATATATATATATATGTATTAGATATATATATATATATATATATATATATATTTACTTATATATGTGCTGTTCCTATAGGCAGTTGACAGGATATATTTAGGGTGTACGTTGGCTTCTAAAAGCCCCACAAAAGTGGTTTCGTCTGGGGTATATATATAATATACACATATATAATATATATATACATATATATATATCCAGAATACTATACAGATGCATATATATATATATATTATTGAATATATCAAATTTTTAAAATAATTAATTCAATAAATCTATTTACATTAATTTTGTTTCTGTTTGCGCTTTTTATTTGATAACTGTATTTATATGCATTCTATTTCTCTTTGATTTGTTTTATTTGTTTAATTTAATATCTTCATTAAAAGAATTATATTTCTCCAAGTTGCTTTAACTGAATAAATAAGTTTAAATAAAAAGAAGAGGAAGCGACGTAACAAAAAACGAAAGACAGAAGGAAATAAATATTATTTATATAAAAATAAAACAGCATTTGTTTGTTTGTTTTTCTTCTTTTGTTGCAGTGCCTCTCTTTGTTTGTCTTTGTTTATATTTCTTTTGTCTCTTTGACTCTTTACCTTTACACTTGTCTGCCGTCCCTATAAATGTCTTTCTTTGCTGCTGCTGCTGCTGCTGCTACTGCTGCTGTTGCTGCTGCTGCTGCTGCTGCTGCAGTTGCTGCCTGTTTTCTGTTGAATATTCTTTTGTTTGTTTAAACTGTTTGTTGTGATTTCTTTGTTTATTTATTTTCTTTTTTTGTTTATTTTATTTATTTAATTTTCTTTGTTTGTTTTTCTCCCTTTGCATATCCCAGGACTGCAAAAAAACATTTTCTTCGTCTTCTTTTTTTTCTCTTTCTTTCTCTTTCTTTCTGTTGAATATGTTTACACTTAATCTTCTTTTATTTTAATTAATTATATCTCTACTTCTCTCTCTCCTTCTCTTCACAGCTGTATGTACAGCCGAAAAGGTGCTTCAAAGTTTTTCTTGTTTTCTCTTCAATCATTAATTCAATATTTTGTCTTCCTCTCCATGCCGGTATCTTCAGGTGTATGTAAACAAAAACAACAAACAAACAAACAAAAAAGAAAGAAAATAAATATAAATATAAGTATAATTATAAGTATAAATATAAATATATAAATATAAGTATAAGTATAAGTATAAGTATAAATATAAATATAAATATAAATATAAATATAAATATAAATATAAATATAAATATA